TGAACACCAGATAAGGCAAGTAGAAGGCGGCGGCGGAAAACTGCGTTCGGCGGCGGCAAAAACGAAACGGCGATACTTGCCCGCACTGTCTGTGCTCCCGTTTGGACGGTGAACACCAGATAAGGCAAGTAGAAGGCGGCGGCGGAAAACTGCGTTCGGCGGCGGCGAAAACGAAGCTAGTCGAGCTGTTTGTGCTCCCGTTTGAACGGTGAACACCAGACACGACTAAGCTGTAGGACTGGAACGACTGTACGATTGCTGGCTCGCCGGGGTCTATTTACCACATACCCCGGCGGCTTCGGCTTTCGAGAATTACGACTTCGGTGTGTTGTGTTTTGATGGTATTTGGTGATACATTTTCGGAGGATGGTCTCATGACATGGTCGAGTGAATCCTCAGATGCTTTTTTTACTTATGGCGTTATTAAGTTAGCTTACAAGTTGCGGCCTTTGGTGCTTTAACGTCGCTGGTACGCACCGTGCAAAGAAGCAGGCGCGTACCGCGACATCTAGTGCGATTTTCATGCATCCAGTGTTGAGAACAACGCGCGTAATAGTTCCGGAGTTGTCAGTGGGTGGCTCGTCGTCCGTGAATTTTGTTATGAGTGGCGAGTGCACGCTATTTGAAGAAATATGATATAGGTCATTTCGTCTCGTTACAATGTACCTATCTTTTTAGGCCTTAATACTATTTTTTTTGTAGAAATGATTAAACTATTTAATTTTAAACAATATTTAACGTAAAATACTAAAATGTCACTAACTTTTATGACAAATTTAAATTGAAAATAAAATTTAAGAAAAAACCAAAAATCGTTATTTCTATAGGTGAAATTAAATGTTTTATTACAAACTTATGAGTTTTTAGTGATTTTATTTTTCTAACTGTCAATATATTTCAATGTCTTGGAAATAGTGACTGTAATATCTTCCGCACAGATTAATTCTTTAACAATTATTATTAAGGAAGAAATAGTTATTGGACCAAAGTACACGATGCCCAATAGGTACAACACTCTCCCCTGTACATGTATAAATTAATATTTATAACAGCTATTAAAAACTCTAGCTAACAGAGACTTAGGTCAATTGTAAATCATTTTAATATAGAATATTTTCATTAGAAGTGTTCTTTTTGTAATTATTTAATCATTTTTTTTTTTTTAACAAATCAAAACAAATATACAAATATAACAGAATCCTTATTCTGAAGATAATTTTGAATAATAATTGCTCTAGGTGACGTTCGTGAAATTGTTTTTGATGATTTTTAAAAATGTTATTATATAGGTACATTTTTAAGAAAAATGTTATTATAATTGTTTATAAAACTGTTTCATGTTTACTCAAAGCATTACTAATTATTTTTTAACTAATTAAAAATATGGTTTATTCAACACATTGTACTATTATACATTTATACATATATTTCAAATATTATAAATTCTTATTTCCATACATACAAGTTAATATTTTGAACGATTATTTTCATAACTTACAGTTTTAAATTTCTATCACTCTTAACTCTTAAGGCGTAGCCTCTGTCCAGACGGAGCAACTTTTGCCACGTAGTTACAAATTTATTCCTGAGCATTGGATGCCACGCGTCAAAATTTGCGATCGGCCTAGCACGCGCCAGGGCCAGGCAGCCTACATCAAAAGAATTCACGAGGCTTTGCCGTGTGTGTGTGGACTCATTTTCGGCAAAACCGTGCGGCATCAGTACTTATTTTTATAATTTTTTTATTCATTATAATTGAAAAACAACTGTTGTATTATCGTCTGTACATGTCTTTAGATATTCATATTCAATAAGCAAACAATAATTGACAAAACCTATAACACTTGGATCATTTAACTTGTATATTATACATTAGTTGAATAGACATCATTCATTTTTTGAATAAAGGTGAATAAATCTTGGATATTAGTATTTTATGACATGTACAGTTGTAAAAAGGCGGTGTTGGGTAAATTAACTAGTTTCCTCTTTCCTCGATACATTTAATAAAGTTTCTTTCAAACAAAATTGTAATAGAATTTCTTTACTTTTCAAATAGATTGGTAATCACTAATCATGTTACTTTCATGGTACAAAAAAAAAATCCAGAATTAGAAATACGCTATAGTAAAAAAGGAAAAATTTGAAAAAGATCTACAAACAAAATACAGTTAATACCTAATTACATAACAATATTAATTACTGTTAAATGGCTATAATAATTTACAACCCTGCAATGTAAATAGTTCGATTTATAATTTTTTAATTATCAGTAATTACTGATGCTATTATCTCTGACTCATGATATTATCCTTCACCAGTTCGACGCGATATGTCAACATCACTGATAATTCGTTGACGATCTACCATACTACCATTAGTGACTTAGCGTCGTTGTTATATTATCCGTACTACAGTCGATGTTTTTTTAAATTGTGATTTGTGTATTATGTTCATCGTATCAAATATTTTACTTTTACGTTTCAATTAAATATTATACCTAATTTGAAATGGATGACTCTCGTGGATACCACTACAAATGTACAAAACGTACGGATGAAGGTGTATGGTAAGAAGACATTTTATGTCAAATATAAACATCAATTTAAATAAATTACCTAGGTGTACCATGTCTAATTTATTGAAATTTATATTTTATTTTAGGTACTTAAAGTGCCATATGCCAAATGTGTACTGTACAGCTACTGCAATAAAACGAGCAGATGGATCCATAGAAATAAGAATACCCCACACTCATGAAGTTAACCAGGTTGAGTATGAAAACGAAATTGCTAAAAAATTGTTTAGGGGTACTTTGATTGAACGGGCGAAATTGGAAACTAAAGCCTTACGCTTGATATATGACGAGGAAGCTCTTAGGTAAGTTTAAAATGATGTAATTTTCTTACTATATAAATCAATATTTTTAAATATTTCACAAAGGTGGCAAATAATAGGTACTATATAAATATATAATACTACTATAGTCACTAAACTGTAACTGTGTAAGCATTAGGTATAGGTATTGTAGCCTGTAGGTACAATGTTTCTTTCAAATTTTTTTTAACCTAATTAATTGACTAAACCTCATATTATAATGCTAATGCTACTGTTGAGTATGCCTGGTCCACAGCTGAATCATCGATGAGACAAGCTCGTAGGCGGACAGTTCCACCATTACCAACGACATTAAGAGAACTAGGAGAGTATTTAGACTTAAATGAGAACAGGTAACAATCAATTTAAATACATTATAATATTAGGTATATTGTAATTTTATTATATTATATATAAGCAGGTACCCAAATAATACATTTGTGCCATAGGCGTGCACAGACCTCTGAGTCAGGTTCCATACCGTTCAACTTATCGTCACCAAATTTTTTACTGTTATACCTGACAGTCTGCATTGCTCATGCTCACAAAAATGCATACGTTTATATTTTGTTTTTGTCGTTGCATTTTTTTAGATTGGGTTTGAAGAGATTTAATAATGACAGAAAAATCACAAATATTAAATAATAATAATCTTACAATTTAAATAGCTGTTATATCAACTCAAGTCAATACCGACGTACCGTATGATAATGATATGAATAGATTCGTGATCATATAGGTGTGAGTAGACCTCTGAGTCAGGTATGGCTAAATTCAATCTGATCACCCACCCCCATGTCATGGTCCCACAAGAAAAAAATTATAGACATTTTAACTACAAACTTTTATGTGACCTTTTTGTTGGTTACTGGAAAATTTAAACAATCAGTTTTCATTATTTCACACATCAAAAATTCATCAATATTGATTTAAATTTTAACCAAATATAATCTAATAAAACAATTTATTCAAAAACGTTCAAAATATAATATATAATATCAAAAATTGTCAATTAACATTAATAGGTATTTATTTATTATTATAAATTATTTATGGTAAATCGACTTTAGGGCTATTAGTTTATGAGATATAAATATTAAAATGTAGATGAGCGGAGTAGTGGACATACATTTCTGAGGGTAACCCCGTACCACTCAACTCCGCTCATCTAAACTTTAAATACTTATAACACATAGACTACTCACACTGAATTCGATTTTTTTGTACCATCGAAATACTTAGAAAAATATTCTACTTTGGAATATGAAATTAAAACTGTTGTCAAAAAAAAAAAAAATTAAAAAATTAGAAGGATATTTTTTTAATAACAAAGTTGTTTTGCAAACGACTCGAAACTATGCAAAAAAATAATTTCAAAAACTATTACACTTTTTAAAATAATAAGTGTTCAATTTTAAATAAATCGCCCGTCTCTCGGGTAAACACGTTTAAAAACTAATTGGGCTATAGGTACCTACTTTTAGTCATGTCTTCATAATGTACCAACCCACCCACGTATAAAAAAATCTTAGGTAGGGCTAAAGCCCAATCAGCCCTACCTAATGATGGGTAAATACCCGGTAAATAAATTTTGGGTAAGTAACCAAGGTATTTACCCGGTATTTAAAAAAAATACCCGGTATTTTGGGTATTTATTTTTAATTGGGTTTTTTTTTATTTTATTTCTTCAATTTTAAATAAATTGTAAAACCTTTTACCAATATAATGTAATTAAAACAATGTTAGGTACTTGTAATTTGTAATTAAACATTAAGATAAAATCAGGCTAAAAACTTATGTAGTGTTAGAGGCGTTAGAGCTTTAAATATTTGAAATAAAATAAAAACAAATTATAATTTTTATAACATACATTATCAGTATTTAATTTATCACACTATAAAATAATAAAACATAACAAAATCAAAAAAATTCTTAAAGTAAAAATAAAAAATGCAATGATTTGATTAATATTAAAATAGATAGGTAAATACCTAATCTACTAATTTATAAAAAATTTCACTCATTTCTTAATCTAAATTTTAGGCATATTCTTAAAGTTTAATTAGGAAATTTGAAATAATACATAATACTATCTTGGTTTACAACTATTTAGTCTTTACTCTTTAATCTTCTTCATCTGAGGAAGATATTAATTCTTCATCGCTACCAGTATCATCATAAATTATACTTTGATCACTATCTGAATCACTTTGAGAGCTTGAAGACTGTTCTGTGTTCATTGGGGCAATATCATTAGATGAACTTTGTATCTCTTCTATAACTACTGAAGAATTTTCAGAGCTTTCTTCATTTTTTTTAGAAATACTACACATTTTATTTTTTAGTTTCCAATTGTAAGACAGATAAGTTAATTTTCCAGCTCTTACAGTAGTTAATTTATTTCTCTTTTTATTGTGTATCCAAGAAAATGTACTAAATGTTCTTTCCGTAGCAGCTGAAGTGCAAGGAGCAGACAAAATTCTAACAGCAACTTTAGATAGTGGTGATATATGATTGAGAAACTGCCACCATTTTAAGGGTTCAGATAAAAGTGAATTTTCCCAAATAAATTTTTTTGCAAATTTGTCAGTTTTTGATTGATAATTTGACAGGTCTTCCATAATATTTACTCCCATTGAAATTCCTAATTCATAAATGAATTCTAAAGTATAAATTCTTTCATTACTATTTAGTTTACAGCCTTGAGTTTTCGGATCTAGTAATTCAGCAGCTAAATGAACTGTACCTAATATAAATAGTTTTTTTTTTTTAATATCAGCTACAATTTTAATTTCTTCAGCTATAGAAAATAAAGGATTTAGCATTGACTTTGAAAAAAATAATTCTATTTGATTTTCAACATCATTTACCAATGTTCGAAAGAGATGAATTTGATTATTATTTGATTCGATGGATATGATTGCGTCCACTATTGGAGTTAACAAAGAGATCATTTTTGAAACATTTTCCCAATACTTATTATCATCGAGTAATGTCAATTTAATAGGTCTTATTAATGAAGTTGGTAAATTTTCATCTACTGCCATAGCTTGTAAAACACTTTTATTTTGAAACAAACTTTCTAAGCAAAATAAAAAACTGCCCCAGCGTGTTTTCACGGGTAATTTTAGTTGAATTTTAATACCTTTTGAAATCTGATATTTTTTGAAAACTGATGACAGCAATTGAGATCTTTTAATGACATGTACAATGTTTGAATTTTTTTTTAAAAACTCATGTACTGAACTTATTTTTAAAATATCTGAACACAAAAGATGTAGCCCATGAGCAACACACCCAAGTGGTTGAATACTCTTATAAATAGATTTTACTAATTCAAATGACTTTTTCATATTTGCAGCATTGTCTCCAATGATAACAAAAATTTTTTCTTTTCCATAAAATTCAATTATTTCACAAATTTTATCTTTCAAATATTCAGCAGTGTGACGTTTATCTTTAGTATTCAAAAATTTAACAAACAAAGGTTCAGGTTTGGAAATCACAAAGTTAATTATACCATCGTTTTAATGTTTGTCCATCCATCTAATTGGAGATTCAAATCATTAGCTTGAAGAAGATCACTTGTAATGCTGCTTTGCATTTCTTCATAAAGTTTATCCACATGCTCTACAGATACAGCTTTTCTACTAGGTAGCTTAAAAGATGGTCTAATGTGTTTAAAAAAATCAATCCACAGTGGATGTTCAACCATAGACAAAGGATATCCACTAACAGCAATAGCTAAAGCCAGCTTTTTACTTAATTGTGCTTGTAAAAAAAATATATACAAATGTGATAAAATTACTTCAACAAAAAAAATATCTAATAATAATAGCTACATAATACATATACTTTTTTTTACATAAATAATGTGCTGTATTATATTTTTTTTGTATAACTTGTACGGTACAAGTTAATAGTTATACAGTTATACAGGTACAAGTTGTACCTAAGGTATTTGTCTATAATAATATAATAAACATTAGTTAATAATTTAGAATATTGAAAACAATCAAACCTTATTTTAATTTATTTATACATAGCCACATAGGTAACATTGACAAAATATTATGTTACTGTTATAATTTTTTTTTATAGTCACTAAAGTAAGTGTTTAAAATGTTACTGTTTAATTTTATTATTAAAATATGTTAATCAAATATTTTGATAAATAGTTTTTCCAATATTGTTTTATAGGTAATATATTAAGATGTTTGCCTATTCATAGTTCACCTGTGATTAGTTGTTATAATATTATTCTAAAATGAAATAAAAATAAAAACAAATTGTACTAAAAGAACAATAATTATATTTTGTTTATTTTTTAATGGTATTGTATTAATATTATTCATTTTTTTTTTTTTTTTATTTAAATTAATATCGACAGATTAATGGGCCTCACTGAGAAAAAACTCGTGTGGAGGCCAAATTATATTAAATTATACCTTACATAATATTAATAAATTTAATAACGTGCCAATTATTTATGTTTTTATAAAATACCACTTATCTACAAATTAAGAGTATTAAATAACACGCATCTACTATGAAAAATACCAAGTATCTACAATCACATTAAAAATTACTCGTAACTACAGTAACTATTATAATAAATGCATTTTAATGAACAATTAGATATAGTTCAATCACAAGTAAGCATGTTCGAAGAAATAAGTTAAAAAATTATTAGCTTCTCTGTTGTGAACAAATTTAATTAGTTTAAAGTCCCTCCTGAACAATTTGGTAAATGTCAGTTACGTGGTATTGCCGTGACAGTCGCGATATATAAATAATATAGTATAACAAAATAAAATGCCCCAATCTTATAATATAAATGTAATACCTATTTCATTATCATGAAATATAATATAATATATAAATAACCTATCTAAAAAATATTTCAAATAAAATACTATAACTATTAAAACAGCTAAATAATTATAGGTACTTACTTTTCTTGACGAACTTTCCTTAACTGGCTCTGTACAAGCCATTTAGCAATTTGGGTATGAATTTCCTTGTTAGTAACTTGAGGTTTATGATAACGAACCACGGCTATAATTTTAGAATATTAAATCCATATATAAAAATATAAAAATCATTAAAACAACAATTTTTTTTAAACTTACTAATAATAAGTCTTAAATGAGTAGGTAATTCATCTTTAAATGATTTTTTTTTTTGTTTTCCAATGAAACTATAAGAGATAGCCAAACAATTGGTCAATAGTTTTGACATAACATTATTCACAATAGAAACAAAATCCGATCCACCGATAGATTTTAAAATATTCACCTAGAACAACAGATATTATATACTTATATAATATTATATTTTACATAATTTAGTAGTTGCAGTTTATGGTATACCATTTGAGAATAAAACACACTATCAACAGCCATGTGCTTTCCAGCATCCAACAAACTACATTCTGAAGAATATGGAAGTCCAAATTCTATTTCCGGTGGCAAAATATTTATTTCGTTCATAATTCCATCAGAATTAGCAGTAAGACGATTTGTCAGTGTCTCGACCATGTTCTTAATTTCATCATTTTGTTCTTGTAACATATCAAACTTTATCAATATTTATGACATTTTTTTTGATATTTCTTTTTTTCAAACTAAAAGGATAAAATCACACTTTTAGTGGCAACAATAATTCACTTTAGGTATAAATATATAATAATAACTAGATAGGAAAATGCTATTGCACGTTGGTTACAAAATATATTTAAATAGTTTAGTATGAGATTTTTGTTTCACCCAATTAAGTTTTTCACAACTTATTTATAATATGTAACACTATAATATCATTTATATCATAGTTAAAAATTGAATTAATTAAAATATATTTTTTTAACAAATTGAATGAATACTACATTTAGAAAAATCTAAAAATCATAATATCAACGTTTCATTTATATTGTTGACAATTTGAATATTTTTAAGTCACAAAATCAATATAACAAACAAGTTTTTTTTTAGAATATAGTACTTACAGTTTATACTACTATTTTTTAGTACCTACCAATAAATGTTGTAATAATTATGAATGAGTATAACGCAGATTTATGGTGTTCATACAATAATTATTATGTTTTTATTGAAATACACGTGGTTGAATAAGTATTAGATCACAGTATTTTCTTTTAAAATATTTACATCACTCAGTGGTGATCATAGATAAGTATATAGAATAGATAGGCAACTCCCATGTTATAAAAACGAACCGTTTAACAGCGCTCCCGGTGGTTGTACGAGAAAACTAAAACAGCGCTACCATCGATAGTTATTGTTATATCGATTATATAGCTTATCGATAATTAACAATCGATTATTAACTACCATAACTATCGATGATTTTGTCTAGAAATAAAATTGTAGGTAAGGAATTTAGTAATAAAAAAAAATAAATTATTTTCTTATAAGAGATCATTTTTTATTAAATAGTTATCAAACAAACAATTGTATAGTTGTATACAAATTATTTAGTATAAATATAAAATTACAATAAGAAGTAATGTATCATTAAATATATTATATATTATATAATTTATATTAATTATAATTAATATTATATATAAAATTAATATTCATATTGTAATTTAATAAATAAGGGTATTACATAAATGAATATAAGGTAAATAATAAATTTAACATTTTCATTTGGTAACAAACAAAATAAACAGATAAACATTATTTATTAAATAATGTTTTTTTTGTTTGTTATTAAATGTAACAAAATTATGCGATTTTTATAAACAATTTGATGAACTAATGTTTCTATATAAAAAATAACAAACAATTAACAACAATTCTTACAAACAGTTAACATAGCTGTAACGGACAACACATGAGGGTCACCTTAAGAGGACGCCACACCCGCATGTGTTGTCTCTGTCTTACAAATGTACAACATAGCAAAAACTCTTTTGCGAGGGACAACTTTTCTCGCACCATATTTGTTGTAGAACTACCAAATTTTCACAGCACTTAAAGAAGAACTTTAGCGTGCTCTTTTTTTCAATAACATATATACAATACAAGTTATTTGCTTCTAAACATTTGGTTTTTTAATTTGCTTATAAAAAATGATTGGATGGTGCTATTGAAAAAAAGAGCACGCTGTTGCACAGATAAAGTTCTTCTTTAAGTGCTGTGAAAATTTGGTAGTTCTACAACAAATATGGTGCGAGAAAAGTTGTCCCTCGCAAAAGAGTTTTTGCTATGTTGTACATTTGTAAGACGGAGACAACACATGCAGGTGTGGCGTCCTCTTAACACTAAAATAAAATAAAATGATATACTTTAAATTAAGTTAAACTTTCCCTGAGTTTTTCTGGTCTTTGAGTGCTTTAAATACCATGTGTAGGCCAATTTTTTAACAGGATCAGTCTCATTGTCTTGCAATTTTCTTTTTCCTAGAAGGATTCTGTTAACTTCAGTACAATAATGTTGTATCATCATTTTAACTGTAAATTTAATTATGTTCAGCCGGAAAAGATCTTTGTGTTCCGAACAATTTAATTCAAAAGGGAAAATTAATTGTTGATTTAAGGCATTAGTCAGAGTTGAATGTATATTAGGATGAAGACAGACATTTGACATTTTTTCTCCGACAAAACTTATGATTTGTTGAACTATAGAACATAATGTAGATGTTGGGTATTTTAAAGTTGGATGATTTGATTGATATTCTCGAGCAGTTATTAATGAATGATGTTCGGATACCTTTTCTGTACAAAGCTGAGTGAGGCATGTTTGACAATTTTTAAAAAAAGTTTTGTTTAATTTTTTTACTATAAATCCGGCAATGTAATTTTGAGCTTGTCCTCGAACAAAAGAAGTAGTCATTGATAAATTATGTAGTGTTGGAGGCAAATCAGCACTAATGACAATTTGGTTCTCAAAGTCAGACGTTGAAGCAATGGCACTCTCAAAAAAATTTTTGAATGATGACAAGCTTCCTTCTGTGAAGTCTTCTTCACAGCTCGATCCTGGTGAGTGGGTGGACACCAAATTATTCAAAACTAAAGTTTTGTATGCAGAATCAAATGCATGACAATTCGGATTTTTTGAACCAATACTTCTGATTGCACCAAAGAAGCATTCTAACGGGTCCTGATTGAGATGCCGAGGAAGAAAGGAACGTATACCATTCAGATCCAACAACTTGGACAGTGTTTTAAAAGCTAAAACAAACAATTTTTAATGTTCAGTATTATAAAAATTATAAAAAAGAAGTATTGATAAAATGTCATACATCGTATAGTTGTCATCCAGTTTTGGATCGTTGGAACTGACTTTTTTCTACCATTCTCAAGTACAAAGCTCATTGTACTGAGCACTTTTAAACTTTCGGCCCAAACAGTATGATGGATAGAATTTTTTTTGACAGCAGTACGGTATATTTTTCCATCAGTTACTTTGTCAAAACTTCCATTGAGTGAGTCGAAAAGTTTATCAAAAAAAAGGCATATAAAAGCAGTGTCGGCAGCATCTGTACCAATGATATTACGAGCTGAAAACATTTTAGTTATTAGTCAGTACATTTCATTGTATTTTAAAATCTTACATGCAAGAAAATTCATAGTAGAAGAAACTCGTTGCGAAAAAACTTGTGTAACATATTTCACTTTCATTTTTGCAATTTTGTCTCGAACTATATGCTGATCGGTAAGTCGCGGTAACATCTTGCAATCTGGAACAGCACTATCCATCTTGTATAGATCTTCGAGATGTGACCATTTTGCATATTTTGTTTTGTTATCAATTGTATAAGATAAATTTTTGGTTAGTAAATTATTTCTTATACATTTCATTAAGTGCGGGACATCATATATATGAACCAATTTCAGCCTTTGTTTATCATGTAATTCAACTTCATAAAATTCATCGTGATATTCTGAGTTGTTTTTTACATGATAAAGTCGAGTTTCATTGTTCAAAATATTTATTGCACCAACATTTGCAGTTCCCTGGTCACTAATAGTTCCTACAACACGAAGGCCTGTCAAATGAACAGTCTCAATCACCTATTTTCAAAAAAATAAAAAATAATAATAAGGTAGTAATAAATTATAAATATCACATTAGTGAAATCAAATTACTTTTTTCAATTGACAAATAATTTCATATTGGTTTGTGGCTCCTTTGCAAAATGTGTACATAATTGGCTGTTTGAATTTCTTTTTTATTCCTCGTACCATGAAGACTAATGCGTGATCAGCAATATTTTAATTTTTACTATGTCCTGTATTCACAAACCCATCAATTTCATCGGTAACTGTGTTATAGGTCAAACCACTTGACAAACACACCTCGTCAAACAAAATTGAACAATACCTGAAACAAATATTTGTAAGTGAAATAAATAAAATAAAATCTATAATCAATTTAGCTTTTTACCTTTCTGATGGCTTGAGCTTTTGAACATTATCCTTAATCATCTTTTCATCATCAATGGACATATTCCAGGTGATATTCTAACACTAGATAGAATGTTATTCAATGTCCGTTTACTTGGCAAGGTAAAAAGTTTTGCCAACATTCGATAACATTTGGGTGAACGTTTATACAAAGATAAACTTAACATTTTTTCATCCAAATTGAATCTACGTCCTCTGCTAAACTTTTTGGTCTCTCTAACTTGAAGTTGCATGAACAATGAAGCAGCAGAAGTAGTTTTTTGTGACAGCCGTGAAACTAAATATTTATCAGCGAACTTTTCAGCATCTCTAAGTCTTGTTTTAAATAAATTATTTCGGTTCGCATTACGTCGACTTTGTTTAAGGAGCAGATTTGTAACTTTATACAATTTTTTACAATTTGGTGTCAAACGTCTGCAATTGGCAACACCAATTTGTTTCAAAACATCTAGAATAAAAACCAAAATTTAGATAAATACTCAATTGTAAAAAAAAAACTCAATCTACAAGCAAATTGAAATCAAAATCAATTTTTTAATATTTTCTATTAAATCTGAAAACAAGAATAAATAAAAATCATAAGCACCAGTTCCAGTTTTCGGTTTTCTTGCAGTTGGTATAGCATGCTTAACATTCAACTTTTTAGCATTTCCGGAATTAACAGCATTAGCATAAGCAGAATTACCTCGTGAATTACTAATTAAAGCATCGCTATCATCTATATAAAGCATTATTAATATAGCTGTGCACTTAATATTAATATATATTTTTAAATCTATAAAACAAGTCAATTATATACTATAGATTATAGGTGTCATACCCATTGAACCATTGTTGATGAATGAAGTTTCCAATGTCAATACTTCATCAAGAACTGATGTTTCCAATACATTGAAACCAGACATAACACTGTCATCAAGATTCATATGATCAACTAGTATAAGTAGAATAAATATTATAAAAGCATATTATGTTGAATAAGCAAGCATAAGTCAAGTTTACCAGACAAAGTTTCATTATTTAATATGGCATGTGTTTTTGCTGGTGTACTATAAACAGTATTTTCAACCGTTCCATATCCTGACATTTCTGAATCGCTCTGATGTATGGATCTTGAAGATTCAACACTAGGTTGACTAAGTTCTGAATTAGTACCACCCAGATACGTGCCTGCTACAAACAACAATAAATTATGCCATATTTCTTACAATACTTAAAAATATCAATATTTGTAGGTAGGTAGGTACCTGGTAACAGTAATGTTGGACAAGAGTTCGCATTCAGTCTCTTAGTACCAGGACTAAAACACTGTTCATCAAAATGATTATTACATATAAATTTCTTTATATAAACATCGTTTGGATCCATTTCATTCAAACCAACCAAATCAATCCATTTTTTTAATCGAACCAAGTCCGTTCTGGGATTGGGAAATCGATGAACAACAATACCTAATATAATACATGTAATGTATGTTCATTATAGAAATTAGGTTATTTTGGGTTATAAATAATAATATTGTTTATAAATTCCATTTGACAATAAATATTATAGATAAGTATAATATCTACAAAATGTCAATTTTAAATCTTACATTCACACATTTTAAAGATAACTTATTTTTTTTCATATACAATAAATGAAAATGGAAATACCCAGTCTTCTGTAATAATACCATAAGGAATAACTCCATTTAAAAAGCATGTTGAATAAAACATTTAAATTTTAAAGATATAAGATAATAATATAGAATGCTTGTTGAGTTGTATAACTTTTTATGAAATTATAAAATACTTACCTCTGGATTGACAGCCATATATTACGCACTTTGAAGCATTTTTAGAAAGCATCATAAAATATTATATAACAGATGTCCAATATAAGTATATAACAGTAAACAGTATATATCAATGACCAGTACCTACTCGCAAGTCACAAATCACAATACGAAATACTGTCCGGTTGGTTAATACGAATACGAAAAACGAAATACGCACAATACGAAATAAGTACAAGACGAAATACACAGTAACACGAATGTCGGAGTCGGAATTTGTCGGATAAATCACGCGAAAAAAAACCGTTGCTGTCTGTCGGCGAGCGGCATAGATAAGAATAATTAATATGGCGAGTGGAGACCGGTGTTCTGCCACGACATGCAGCGCTAATGGTGGTTGTACGATACAACTATACGGTACAAAACGATCCAATGGAGTTGCACTAGCTTGGTGGTGATTTGACATTAATTAAAAAACGTATAACAGGGAAAGATATTTGGAGAATATAGTTTTTTGACTCACGATGCTCCTGGGCTCTATCTTCCTGTGTACAGCTAGGCAGTGGTTGATACAACGGTCGTCGGTAATGATTCTGATATTCGGACGGTCGATCGGCGGAGGTAGGTATGCTCGACGATCGACGATTGATAATTAGTTATTGTGATACGGCGGCGTGCGTGCGTGTGCGTGTGTACGACGTTCGTAAATTGTTTTCTGGCGGCGAGTATATATATATGGGTCGGACGGCAGCTACGGCTCGTTCTCGATGTCGATATATTTTACGGGCGGCAAGTAGGTACTTTAGTTCGCGTCGTTCGCGATGTTTATTCTCAGCGGCGAAATGGTATTGGACGGCGGCGTATGCTCGGCGTTCTCAATATTCTTTTTAAATGGCACGGCAGAGGGAAACACCGTATAACAGACGTGCAGCGGCGGCGTTAAAACTACGGCAGCGGGTCGATCGTACCGGCTCGTTTGACCTGGCTTTTAGGCCATATCCGAGCACGGTAGATGAAAACAAAAAAAACGAACGGAACGGTAACGACGACGATATTCTTACTCAACTGTTTGACCTGGGTTTTACTCCATATCCAGTTGGTAAGAATATCGTAGTATATCGAGTGGATGTGAGTATGAGTATGCTGTTCACGGGGCCTATTTACCGACTATCTCAGTTGCCACCGTGAACAGTAATGATGGCTATAGGTGTCTACGTTTTGGTGATTTTGACTGTACCTAATATCGCTGAGGGTGTGCGTTTGCGTTGACGTCTATTGTTGTTGGTGCGCTTCATGTTGTCATTGCAATTAGTGTATAACAATTACTTAAAGTTTGTAATTATTACGAAGATGTTCCCGAACATAACTTGGTGCGTGGTGCATGCTATCTAGTATCAGTATTTGGCGCTCCGATACTAGATAGTTGCACATTTATTTACTGGTGGCGCGTCGGTTCTCTGCGCTGTTGTGTGTGGTTCGCGTTGGTTGTTCACTGTAGGCGCTAGTGGGTATGTTATTGTAAGAAAAATGAGAGTAGGTAGTTTTGTCTCGTTACAATGTTTAAAATTATAAAAAAAGTTTGTGTGATTGTAAAATAGGTAATGTAATTAATTCATCTATAGAGGTAAAATTAATAAATCAAAACATTTACCTGCATTGTTACTTGATTTTTCACTGGACTTCGAAAGATTATCCTTTGGAAACTTAGACAACGGTGTTGACATTGGTTGAGAATGTAAAACTGATAAAATACTAGGATAAATATCGTCTGCTTCAAAATCGTCCTTGTTGTTCAACAAATTATTTCCAGGGTTGATTTCATGCAAAGGACTGGGGAAATTAAGAAAAATTATTTCTTGAAAGTTTCTGGTTGTCTTAGTTGTGTCAAAACTTAGTTTTCTTTTCTTCTTAGGAAGTAGTGTTGTTAAATTATTGCAAAGTAAATCTTCATTATTTAGTTCAAATGTTATGGCAGCTCTATCATGTCTTGAACGTTTCTTACAATCAGTATCTGAACCACTTTCCAACTCTGAATGTATTTCTGCTTGTTTCAATTTAAACATTCCATCTGTATAGTTATCTAAAGCAAATGAAGACAAAAACAAGCCTTAAATGAAATGAAACACTCAAAAATAAAACTCTAGTTTCACCTATGTGGCTATATTTACAGGTATATAGGTACCAAAGTATTGTTTACCTGATGTTCCAAATACACGTTGAATGGAGAATGCATTCCAATTTTTGCCAGGACTAGATCTATTTGCGATTAGTTTATTGACTTTTATTTGATTGAGTGAAGCTGGAAGCCAATAACAATGCGTTTCATTTTCTGTGAGCCAGTTAGTAGGAACTAACTGTATACCATCTTCGAATTCAACAATTTTAAATATTGGTATATACATAGTTGTTATTTCTTTCGACTTGAATATTATCTTGTAGACTAAAAAGAATAAAATCTAGCAAGTAGGTATTTATTTATAGAATACTAACTTTTTTTAACATTTATAAAACTAGTTGTTATGTAATTACAATAAAATAATGTATATATATGTATAATAAAAATTACAATTTAAAATAAAATTAGCAAATTAGTTTATTGTGTGTATGAATGAATGATTGGAACTGCAATATATTTTTCTTTAAAAGGAATCAACCATATTTTTGATTTAATTGTGTCTATTGGCCATATTTGTAAAGTTTGATTTTTTCCAATACCCGAGACTATTTTAATATTTAAATCAATAGAACTGCATGGTATGGTATAAAAAGTAGAAGGAGTTAACGTTTTAAGATCATACCCACAAATATATATCTTATCCGAAGAAATAAACTTAACAATGTTTTGAACAAAAACAACTACATTGTCATTTGAAAGGAAAAAACAATTTTTGGTACCATCGCATAAAATGGATAATTGAAATGAAGTATACTGTTTATACTAATAGTAATAGTAATAGTAATAACAGTAATACTGGATTACTGATGTCTTATTTGTTGATATACTATTTGATAATGGGCCAGATGTATGCAATTTTTTTAAATCCGATTGTCCAATTGGCTTGATGTTGTTTAATTTGACAATGTTTTCTTGTTCAGAGTATCTCTTAGCTAATTGTTGAAGAGGTCTTTCACTTTTCCTTAATATTTTTTTTATACTACTCATATGATTTTCAAATCAAAAAGCACTAAATTCATCTAATGCTCCATATTTTTGTACATCATCTGCTAAATGTAATAAATTATGCACGTTATGCGAAACATTTTCTTTTCCATATAGTTTTTGAAATCCCAAAACAAATTGAATCAATAGTTTTTTTGCATAAGCAATAAGTGTTTTACTTGTACAATAATTAGGATTTATTAGAATTGTTATTGATACATGTAACACAATAAAATTGGTGTATAAATTGTTTTGCAAGTAATTTTTTAAAACTATTGGTCCAGTATAGAGTAAAAAAATTCTGAGTTCTGTAGCTTTAAAATGCTTATAATCATATAATGAACGAGGTGTTCTAGAAAAATCATTAGGTGTCGTCTTCTGATAATCAGTCAGTTTGTCAGAAATAATTTTAATGTCTCTAGCAAGCATCCGAATAGGAAGTGGTCCAGATATCCAGAGATTGATCATTTTTTTTACAACTCCAAGGCAAACTAAGTGCATGTAATCCAGAGGTACATTTGAAATTAATCCAAATTGTGGAATATTATTTAGTATAGATATACTGTGTTGATAAGTATCGGCATAATCATTGTTTTTGAATGCTAAATCAGTTCTCAAACCACTAAAACATATAATTTCATGTGAATGACCATTAACTCCACTTTCAGTTGTATCTAATGGAAATCAAATTCTATTGTTTATATAGCTACCTTTAATTATACATTTGGAACAACTATAGTATCCTGAGTGACCTTTTGACACGGTAGACTGGTTGTGGTAGAGGAAGAAGGTTACACTCAATAACAACAACGGTGTTAATAGTCGATGTACACTTTATTATATTTAAAACAATTGAACAGAAGTACGTTATGTAGTGCGTTAGGAACAAGACAGCCGGCCCAGCCGGCGGCGAGGTCCGTCAGCCTGGCACCCCAAAGTCAAAATGTCGGGGTCAAATCAAACTAAAAAATTAGTAACCAATTCGTAACAATTTGTAACCACAAGATCAGAATTTGAAACTTAAGTCTTAATCCCAAAATTTGTGTTTCCATTTTCGGGTGCTGGGATGACGTCAGCCTGGCACCCCAAATTCAAAATTTCGAGGTCAAACCACACTAAAAAGTTAGTAACAAATTCGTAACAATTCGTAACCACAAAATAAAAATTTGTAACCTAAATCTTAACCCCAAAATTTGTGTTTCCATTTTCGGGTGCTGGGATGACGTCAGCCTGGCACCCCGAATTCAAAATGTTGAGGTCAAACCACACTAAAAAGTTAGTAATCAATTCGTAACAATTCGTAACCACAAAATAAAAATTTGTAACCTAAGTCTTAACCCCAAAACTAATTTTTTTCTATATGGGGTGCAAAATTTTAAATTTCAACAAGAATTCAAAATGTCGGGGTAAAATCAAACTAAAAAATTAGTAACCAATTCGTAACAGTTTGTAACCACAAAATTAGAATTAATAACCAAAGTCTTAACCCCAAAATTAATTTTTTTATATATATAGGGTGCACAATTTGAAATTTCAACAAGAATTAAATATTTTGTGGTCAAACCATACTAAAATATTAGTTACCAATTCGTAACAATTTGAAGGTGTGTTACACAACAAAGTCAAAATGTCGAGTTGAAAACCGATTGGTATTATATAATCTTTTATGTAACAATTTGTAACCACAAAAAAAAATTGTAACCAACCTGATGCCCCGAAAACCACGATCCAAATTCCGGGTGCCTAATTTATTATGTCAATAATATTTTTAGAATTTCTTTGAGATTGTCTTATTTTTAAAAATGCATATTACATATACAATACAATCCCTTGTTCATAAACTTGGATAGTTCTAACTTAATCTCTGAATAAATTAAAATGGTAGGAGACAATTTTGGTTTTCAAAGTATAATTTTAATCTATAAATTTAATTAATATTAGTAGATATAACTTTTATATGTGTGGAGTATGTTCATTCCTATTTCCTATACTAAACCACAATACAAAAATTAAATGAACAGTGGAAACCTATAAAAACTTCAAAATATTAACGTACAAAGCAATTATTTAGTAGATCAATGGGGCTTCTGATTACTTGTACATCAATGAAAGAAGCAGAACCAATTTTAGAAGCTATTTTTGTAATAGCTTTAAGTAAGTATGATGGCCCAATTACAACTAACGCAAAAGGCATTAAAACAAGATACACCATGTGCCAAAAGCAAAAGGTTTCTACAATCTTTAATGAGTTGTAATGTCACCTTAGATCAATTCAGTAATGAATTGGAAAATAACAATTTTGAACAAGATTTATTAGAGACTGATGATTTGATAAATAATTTTGATTTAATAAGTTCATTCAAAGATTGGGCATTGTCTATTTTAACCAAATGTGAGACTCAAATTATTGGTATCGAAGGAGAATTTGACAATGCACAATACATTCCAGAATTAGTACCTCTTGTGGTTAACTCTATGAAACTTTTCCCATGCTGGTCTAGTATAATGGTTGGAATATTTGGTTATGGTGAAAAAACTGCATCAAGCAGTAGAATTGAAAGTAACTTAAAAAAATAGAGTATTTAAGAATGAAATCATGCCAATTAGAGCTGATAATTTTGTTGAATATTTGGTTAAATATTATAGGGGTGATTTACAGTCAAAAAAATGTGTCTCAACGAATAAAGACACTTCAAATACAAATTATGAAATTCCACAGGATTTTGTTGGTTTAAATAGTTTACCGTGTGATAATACAATAGAGCCACTTGAAGAAGTAAATGCAATTGAAAACTGGAAAAATCAAGGATCAATATCAAAGCCTTGGTCATCAAAATCATTTTTGGTAAAGCAACAAGGATTTGAGAATATTAATTTAAATGAAAGAGGACCTATATGTGAAATATCATTACTTAAAAATGGTTCCAGCTATAATAATAAACCTTTATTCGTACATGTTTTTGATAAAGTTTTATTAAGTAATACATGCTCTGCGGACTCATTGTTATCAATTTTAGCTGTTGCTGCTGCAGAAAGTAAACACTACCATCAATTTTTATCCAACACAAAAAATGAAACTGCTAAATTTGTTTTAAGAATGATTGGTAACAGACCTTCTAAAGAGATGTACAAAAATAGAGTCTATTTGCTCGCTCAACATTTTATCACTCGAACAGTTGATTGGAGATATTACTTTATTTGATATAGAAGACACAGGAGGTTCAATGTGTGAAAAATTGCTAGAAGATCTGAATTCCTTTAATCGGTTTGATCGATGTAAAAATAATTTATGTTTTGATCCGGAAAGAAAATCTAAAGGAACTACAATTCTATTTCCTGTCGTTGATGATAATATTGACTTACAACAAGAACTGGAAATATTTTTTATGCCGTTAACAAAATTATGTGTATCTACTAATTGTAACCAAGAAAGAGAAGAAACGATAAAAGCCACTAATCATATAATTGTGGAACTCTTATCATTACCTAAAGGTAAATCATTAACTAAAAATTAAAAATATAATATATAAATCATGAATAGGTAACTACCTATATTCAATTAATGAAACTATAGTACTATTAATCTAGGTGTACTATTTAAATATTTAATAAATATAATAATATGTATGAAATGAGATTCATACCAATTTATAAACTAAATTAAACTTTTAGTTTGAATGTTTTTACATTTTTTTTTTTTAATAATATGGAAAATACCTATACCTATATATTGTTTCTAGATTTTACGGCATCAACTAGTTCTAGCAACATTAATTCAGAAGTGCAAAAAGTCAAACAGAACTATGCTGAGAAAGTTACATGGAAACTTAAAAATATACCAAAACAAATACAAATACAGAATATTCATTTTAAATAACGAGGTGCTATAGCATTTAGTGGTTCTGGTGAAAAAAATTTAAGACAACCCAGTGGCCATTACACAGCGTTCTGCTTGAGGTCTCATGATGTCTGGAAATGTTTTGACGACACAAAAGAACACATTTCCGGGATAAAAGGAAATCGGAAAATAAATGTAGAGAATCTAATATATACTGTATGAAGTTTTTTTTTTGTTATGGCCTTTTCGACCAAATATATTAGTTTTTGTTTTTTTTTTAACTTCCTACATAACATATTCCTAGCTTATAGTATTCATATCTAGATATATTAATAATTATAATATATTAAAATATATTAATAAACCAACATTGATTATATATTTTTTACAATGATTTAATTAGGTATTTTATTTTTAAATAACACACAGAAATAGTCACCAATTAAAATATTATTTGTAATATTTTAAGATTTTTAAATAAATGAATATTTTAAAATTGTATATAGGTAGGTAAAAAATCAATGTTCTAATGAGATGATATTGTCTTCATTTTTTTAAAACTAATCTGATTTACAAAAGATACTTACAGTTAAGTCAACAAGATCTTGTATATGAATTATTATAATTTAAAAGCTATAAAGGTCACATAAATTCCTAGTTAGTATGGAGGGTAGGCAAGTTTATTTTTCAGAATTATTTGAACCAAGTGTATTGTATTGGTGGAGAAATTATTGTTATCTTATACTGCTGAAAAAACAATTATTTCTACGCGTAATTATTTTTTTTTTCCTCAGGTTTAGATCATATATTTACTTACCATAGCTATAGTTCCATTTAATAAAAAAATTTGGTTTCAAAATCTTTAAAAGTGACTCAACAAGTCAACAATCCTAAAAACCTCTAAACATTAAAAAAAGAGTAGGTCAGCATTGCGGTGGTGGTTGTTTGTCCATCATTTCTTCGGTCCTCAGATATGCATTCGATAAAAAAAAAAACTATTCTGAGCGGACGAAATGAAATTTTTTAATTTTATTCGTTTCTATGGTAATAAACACACCTTTGCATAGAGTTTATTGTATTTAATATCATGGAGTATACTTTGACTATAGACTACAATTTATTGAATATAATATTTATTATGTTACTAATCTTCATAGAAAGTTATTATAATATAAGTTTCAAATGCTCAAAAATATGATAGATATTAGAGCTCTTAGAGTTATCTATTTAGCTCTTATTCATTTAATTTTTGTATTGTGGTTTAGTATAGAAAATAGGAATGAACATACTACACACATATGAATGTTATCTATTTTCCAACTCATTGCTGAATGGATCTAAGGTGACATTACAACTGATTAAAGATTGTAGAAACCTTTTGCTTTTGGCACATGGTGTATCTTGTTTTAATGCCTTTTGCGTTAGTTGTAATTGGGCCATCATACTTACTTAAAGCTATTACAAAAATAGCTTCTAAAATTGGTTCTGCTTCTTTCATTGATGTACAAGTGATCAGAAGCCCCATTGATCTACTAAATAATTGCTTTGTACGTTAATATTTTGAAGTTTTTATAGGTTTCCACTGTTCATTTAACTTTTGTATTGTGGTTTAGTATAGGAAATAGGAATGAACATACTCCACACATATAAAAGTTATATCTACTAATATTAATTAAATTTATAGATTAAAATTATACTTTGAAAACCAAAATTGTCTCCTACCATTTTAATTTATTCAGAGATTAAGTTAGAACTATCCAAGTTTATGAACAAGGGATTGTATTGTATATGTAATATGCATTTTTAAAAATAAGACAATCTCAAAGAAATTCTAAAAATATTATTGACATAATAAATTAGGCACCCGGAATTTGGATCGTGGTTTTCGGGGCATCAGGTTGGTTACAATTTTTTTTTTGTGGTTACAAATTGTTACATAAAAGATTATATAATACCAATCGGTTTTCAACTCGACATTTTGACCTTGTTGTGTAACACACCTTCAAATTGTTATGAATTGGTAACTAATTTTTTGGGCGCACACTAGTTGCCTCCCGAAGTCAGAAAGGTCAATAATTTTAATTGCCTCCCGACTATATACTATTTGCCACCCGACGTACCCTAAATTTTATCGTAAACGAAAAAGGTCTAGTACTAGTAACCTAATTCAAAATCGTAATTTATGACTTTTGTTATGTTTGATATTTAAGCTTACCTAAAACGAGAAATTAAGTTCATGTTTTAGATGAGATAGATATTATTTACGAAAATTATCAATATTTATTACACAATGATATAGAAAGCGGAATTGGTTTATTTTCTACAAAAACGAATTTGGAATTCCTAGTAAAAATCGATACGTTTTATGTAGATGGAACATTTCAATATTGCACCAAATATTTCAGTCAATTATTTACTATTCATGGATTAATAAATAACTATTAAATACCTCTTGCTTTTTTTTTGTTAAAAGATAGAAGTGAACAAACATATACTGGTACGTTTAATGTATTAAATACGTTGTGCTTAAAAATAGATAGTCATTTTAAGCCAAACATAATTTATATGGATTTTGATTTTGAAAAAGCCATACACAATTCTATAACATGCATATGGAAAAATATTTCTATAAGAGGATGTCGATTTCATCTTGGCCAAGCTTGGTGGCGTAAAATTCAGTCACTTGGATTAGCTTCGAATTACTATAATAACGATTCGATTAGAGAATACTTAACGTGCATATTTGGCCTATAATTTTAAAACCCAGCGGAAGTCGGAGATTTGTTTTCAATGGAACTAGCAAACATACAGCCTTTAGATGATAAAATCGGACTATTTAGTAGATACATATATATCAGAGGATTCAATGTTTCCACCTCATATATGGGCAGAAAAAAGTTCAAGCATTCAGTGCATGCATGCGAATCTTTCCATAGCAAATTTAATAGCTATTTTGAGTCGCCGCATCCTAATATATATAAATTTATCGAAGTTTTAAAACTAATTCAAACTGAGACTGTAATTTTAATACAAAGTTCTAATAAGACTAAACTACATGGTCGATTACAAATTAGAAACAAAATAATTTTCATTGATACTCAAATAAAAAGCTGAATGAAAAAAAAAAATATCAAATTTTGAGTACCTACAAATATTGGCTAAAAAATATAAGCCAGTTATGCCATAAATAACTTTTTGTTTTTTACCTATTATGTTTGACTTATTGACTACCTAATTGATTTATTATTTTTATAGTTGTGTAATTTGTATATAAATGTCGTATATTATACCTAATAAAACATAAAATATTTATTAATTATGTTAATTTTATAAATGCATCTATTTATCCGATTTTTTTTAGTGAGGCTTATGAACCACTACTTAATTCTTTACGGGAAGCAACTAGTGTGAAAATTCTTGGGAGGCAACTGGAATATTATTATGAACTACCTGGTCAACGGAGGCAACTAGTGTATATTAACCTTTTTATTTACGATAAGGATGGGAGGCAATTCGTATATTTTGGGAGGCAACTAGTATGCACCGAATTTTTTAGTATGGTTTGACCACAAAATATTTAATTCTTGTTGAAATTTCAAATTGTGCACCCTATATATATATATATAAAAAAGTTATTTTTGGGGTTAAGACTTTGGTTATTAATTCTAATTTTGTGGTTACAAACTGTTACGAATTGGTTACTAATTTTTTAGTTTGATTTTACCCCGACATTTTGAATTCTTGTTGAAATTTCAAATTTTGCACCCCATATAGAAAAAAATTAGTTTTGGGGTTAAGACTTAGGTTACAAATTTTTATTTTGTGGTTACGAATTGTTACGAATTGATTACTAACTTTTTAGTGTGGTTTGACCTCAACATTTTGAATTCGGGGTGCCAGGCTGACGTCATCCCAGCACCCGAAAATGGAAACACAAATTTTGGGGTTAAGATTTAGGTTACAAATTTTTATTTTGTGGTTACGAATTGTTACGAATTGGTTACTAATTTTTTAGTTTGATTTGACCTTGACATTTTGACTTTGGGGTGCCAGGCTGACGGACCTCGGCGGCGAGGTCGGGCGTCGTTGTCGACGTCCGGGTCCCCACCACCTGCCGTCCGACTGTTGCGCGTCGGGCGGGTGTCGCCAAAATACCGACCGCGACCCTTTGGTACACAAAACAAATGATTTAGCCGGGGCGTCGCAAATTAACCCATGCATTTTAATAGTAATTAATTTATTGTTTGGCATTTTAAATCCATTTTGAACTAAAGGAACTATTTCATTCACAAATTGTTCCAAGTACATATTAGAGTCAATAGGTTTCTCATGTCCATAGTATGCACCAATCATAAAAACTTTTTTAAACTTAGTGTATGAACATAGAATAGGATAAATGCTACTATTAGATGATTTAGCAATTGGCAATCCATCAATATTAATTAATAAGTCTAAGGCATCCACATCATACTGTTCTTCAACCATATTCAAAATACACTTTTCAAGACCATAATACCAAAAGGAACCATTTCCAATCTCGGTTAAATTATACAAAGGTGATCGAGAAGTTTTTAATAATGTTCGAGCATCTAACGGTAAATTATGATTAGTATGGTTGTTTAATATAACTAATAACTGAGATAATGCTGAGTTAGTAATATTGTTATTTATAGCCCAAACTCTAAGACTAGATTCAAATTCTTCTAAATGTTGTATAGACCTATTCAATTCATTAGGAACTGAGTTATTATGACTTGGTGTTAAATTGGAATTTTCATCAGACAAAATAAGATGATCAGAGGATGAATCAGATGCAGATGAATCTGCTAAATCATTGTTTATCACAAAATCATCTTTATTTGATAAAATTTCATTTTTACTAATTTCAAAATTGTTTGATACGACTATTTGTAATGGCTTATAAGTTTCATCATTGTTGTCAGAACTACTACTACTTTCGGAATCAAAAGAATTATCATTTGTTGGTAAACTTGACTGATCATTACTAGCAATAATACGACGTATCTGACGCCTTGAACATGGCAATAATGGTTTTCTTCGTTTATTATTGTTATTCATTATAATGCAGAAGTTGATGTTATACGACTAACAGCGATTTCTAATGAACTAATAGGTAGTTCATACAATTGATGTATAGGTATCAAATTAAATTGTTCGAACGCGGAACGGGTTGCCGCCAAAAGCATGGACGCTCCAAGTTCATATCGAAGCTCCAAGCGACGCTTTCCCCTTCCACAGTCTCGCACCGCCGTCAACGGCCGGCGAGCTGGCCATCGGCCGTCGCGAGCTTGTCTCTCTACCTTCTTCTTTTTTCTTTTTCCAACGGCTGAACGAAGCGCAACGTCCGCGCTGTCGTTCCCGTGTGTGTTGCGAAAACCTCGTGTGAACACGCGTGTTTTGTCCATCGTGATCGACGTGTGACGCTAAGCTCACATCGAGTCCGTTGTCGTGTATTTACGCCGTGCGCGTGTTTTACTCTACCCTCCGCGTGATCGCGAGTGTTTTGCCACGGAAAGACGTAAATATATCATTCTAATTCGCGTTCGCGCTATTCACGTGGAACCAAGAGCCATTATCATCGAGCGACGAGCCGAAGATTTGTCCGCCGTCGCCGTTCCGGCGAGGGACCGATATTGGTCGTAACCTGCAAGGATTACAGTCGCGGAGCCACGCAGCCGCCGAGCCACGCAGTCGCCGTAGCCAGGTCCATATATTTAGTATTTTAGTCCCACGTGTCAGTGGGCTGATTTAAAAATATAATTATTGTTCGCCAGCTATGGTAAATTAGTTTTAAGTTATTATTATTATTTTGGGCGCCCGCTAATTAAATTATTATTTTTATTACAAAATTATACGTGTTTCCGACCCAAAACCCAATACACGTTGCGTAACCCGTCCTCGCTCCAGCCTTCAACACTTGACGCGAGTCGTTGCCGACAACCGCGCAATTCGTAAAACGGCGCAACATAAATAATAGTGTGTTTTAAAAAACATAAAATAACTTTTAGTGCGGCATCCACTTACCTATATTACAACATTCTTTAACATAAAATAATTAGAAGTATGTAGGTACTCACGAATCACATACCTATGTAAAGCGTAGAATCGGTAGGTGCGTTATTATACAATCCTTAAACACGTGATGGATTGATGGATGGAGATGACACTGTCTAGAATACCTACTATTTATTTTTTTTATACATTAAACATTTTAAAGGTTAAAACTCAAAACAGTTAACAAATAATATGAATAATTTAAGATTAACTACTGCAAATAATAATCTATGTTTATAAATATATATTATAATATACATTATTATACCTACCGCGCAACCGTGCATTATTGTGATAACTGATAAGACAGCTGTCTGCGCGCGGCGTGGTTAGATAATTATGGTTTCCTTTATAAATTATAACAAACATATAACTTTGTTTTATAACATTGTAATTTATAATCACTGTATCAGAAATGTATTTAAGTATAACAATTTGTAATATTTCTACAAATAATGTCTGAAATATTTCAGAAATATTATATATTTAATCAATATCAATATGTAATATTGTAACAGAACATGATGTTTCAGAAACATAAATGAAATTATTTGTGTTGTGTGGGTATGCTCTTGTTTCAGATGTTTTGCCACAAGCTGCCGATGAGAACATGTGTGTTGTATGTTTGGTATGTAAAAGACAGTATGCTCTTATACCTTGTTAACACCAAGTGTTATGCTTACTATGTTCAGTAACTATAAACCCAAAAAAATGTCCGATGTGCAATTCTTATTTTACTGCAACACTTAGAGTTTATTCAAATTAGCTCAAAAATACAAATATTTTATCATAATTAAAGACCGGATTTAATTGATATTGCAACTTTTTTTGTAGTTAAGATAAATCAAATCTGATCAAATATGTACACGATTTGTATTAATTACTGTCTTTCTGTTTAATTTTATGTTGCAATTTATTGCAATTTTTAATGTTTTTGCAATTTTTAATGTTTTTGCAATTTTTTTCAATTTTGTATATTTCACGTAATCGAATGTACAAATCAATATTTCTTAACTAATTTTATAATATAAAAATAATAAAATTATTGTGGATTTTTATTATTGGTTTGATTAATATGATCTTAGAAGTATAAAGGAGTATTATCTATGTTATTTATCGCTCGTCTGGAATTTTCTATCTCAAATTACTGTGACTAGCGATAATAACGACTACGAAAGCTATAAGCGTCGTGTGCGTTTACCCGTTGATACGTACTAGTACCTATTTCTTTGATCAGTTTGACCGCACAAACTGACCGTGAACGTATTCGTCGAAATGCCTAAAATAAAATCAAGTTTAAAAAGTAAAATATCGAATTGGATTGCTCCTTATAATGAAAATAAAGAAGTATTTTCATCAGATGGAAAGATTATATATTGTCTCGTATGTGAAAAGTTTGTGTCTACTGAAAAAAAATATCTATTAGATCATCATTCCAAAACAAGTAAGTTTTGTATTTTATACTCATACTACACGTAATAGTGTAGTACACGTAACTCCATGTTATTTTATATCAAAAATACATGTATATTTATTTTAGTTCAACACATAAATGCATTACAAAGGAATAAAGAAAGAAAACAGCAGATTTTCATTACTTCTCAAGTAGAAATGTATTTTTTGAAGATTTATGTAATGCATTTGTTGCTGCAAATATTCCTTTGCATAAGCTGGGCAATCATGTGTTAAAATGATTTTTGGAAAAGCATACTGGCAAATCAATTCCAGATGAAAGTACTTTAAGAAAAAATTACATACCAAATATTTATAAAAGCGTAATGGACCAAATAATTAGCGATATTGGAAATAATTACGTTTACATAATTGTTGACGAGACAACCGATCCAAGAGGTTTGTATAAATATTTTTTTTTTAATTTCTCATATAATAAAACATACTATTTTCGTTTAGGTTTGTCTATTGCTAATTTATTAACTGGTAAATTAGATGGGACGCCTAGTAAATCATATTTAGTTGCATGTAAAGAATTAGAATCCACCAATTATGAAACTATTTGTCAGTTTATTAATTCCTCGTTAAAAATATTTCCTGGTATTGAACAAAAAGTATTACTTTTGATTAGCGATGCTGGTACTTATATGATCAAAGCAGCAAAAACATTAAAAATATTTTTTCCAAAATTAATTCATATCACATGTATGGCACACGCAGTTAATAGAGTTCTAGAGAAAATTCGAGAATTGTATCCAGATATAAATAAATTAATTAACAATGGTAATGTACTAATGTGTTAAGTACTTATTTAAAATTTAAATACATTTGTTACTTATTTTGTTTATTTTAGGAAAAAAAGCTTTCCTAAAAGCACCATCGAGAATAAATAAATACAGAAAAGAAATGCCGGGTATACCTTTACCACCCGAAACTATTATTTCAAGATGGGGAACATGGTTAAACGCTGCACTTTTCTATGCAAATAATTTTGAAAAGTTTAAAAACGTGATTGAAAGTTTAACAGATGATGCTTTAAGTGTCGAAAAGCTGAAACTGCTTGTACAAGATAATGCAGTCAAATGTGATTTAGCATTCATAAAATTACACTTATCTGAGTTATGCACGAATCTCAAAAATTTGGAAGAATCTAATAGTGAACTACTGAAAAGTATGGATATTTTTAGAAAAATTGAAGATATTTTAACAAATATTCCTGGTCCATAAGGGGAAAAAATTAAGGAAAAATGTATGTATGTAATTAAAAAGAATGAAGGGTATAAAACTTTAAAGTGTTACTATGAAGTCATGTCAGGTAAAGCAAATGTTAATTTAGATATAACGCCTACTTTATTAAATTGTTTTAAATATGCACCAATAACGAGTGTTGACGTAGAACGTAGTTTCTCGTTGTACAAACATATTTTGAGTAATAGAAGATTTAATTTTAATGAAAATAATTTAGAAATGTATTTAATCATCAATTTTAATTAAAAAATGTAAAATTAATATTAAATGTAATTAATGTAATATTAATTAATGAATTAGAAACTATAATACCCACTAGTTACCAACTAGTTGACAAGTTAACCGTCTTTTTACTTTAATTTAAAAAAAAAAAGGTTCTTAATAATTCCAATTACATAATATTATATTACGAATAGGTATATATAATATGTATAATATTTGTATATTCTTATTTATTTGTTATTGAATATGTATTATTAATTTTATACTTTTAGTATTTCTCTTAATATACACTGTACTGAATAATTAATATTTTTTTTAATGACATAAAACTTAAGTTGTTTATGTTCAAGGCTTGTGATGCATAATAAATCTTTGAAATTTACATAGTAGCTCTTAAATTTTTTTTATTTGTTCAAGTTCAAGTTGTGATGGAACAATGGGGCTATGTTACAGTTATTTTAACTGCAGCTAAGGTGATGCAGTGCCAATTCATGTATTAATACATAAACAATAAAATAGTAGGATATAATATGAAAAACGTTTCAAAATGCTGACTGATAATATTCCTTAGTGCTTTTGAGAATCATAAGTAAAATTAATAGATTGTCATATTATAATATAATACTAATTAATTTACATGTTAATAAACGATTGAAAAAAAAAAAATTGTTATTATTGTTTATAAAAAAAAATAACTTAATTTTAATAAAATGGAATAAATGGCCTTTAAATTTTAAATAGAATAAATCTTTTGTTGATGGTTAGACTCAGAATGTTTAAAATTTTGTTAAAATGTAAGTACTTATTTTTATGCGCAGTTTACAAATAAATTGTATTCATAGGCGTAACTAGACCTTAAAGTTGTTGAGGGGGACTCCGGCCCTAGCATTTTCCAAACAAAAAAAAAGTTGGGTGCTCACCCCCTCCACACTGATGTTAAATAAATTGTTAAAATTATAATATTGTTTAATTTTTATAGTGTGTTTAACATATTTTTTGTGTGTATAAAACAAATTATAAAAAAGTGTTACTGAGATAATTAATTAAATGATTAAAATGATTAATAATTTTAGATACAAATTCAAATTTAATTTTCCTTAAATATAAAGGATTTTTAAAGGTTATAATTAGAGCGCGGATTTTTATGCACTATAAAGTATCAAAATATGCCATATAATATGCAGTAAAAATCATGAAAATATGCAGTAAAAATCATGAAATTCATTTTTTTTATTTATTTACAATTTACAAATTAAACTTCTTATAACAATTAATTACTTAAATACTAAAATATTAAATACTTATATAAATTTCTCTTTACATTTTTTTTATTTTATTTACTATTAAAATGAATGATCATATGCATTTCAAGTTTTTCTTCAGTGAAGCTATGACGTTTATCAGTTAACATATTTTTAAATACTGAAAACGAACGTTCGACGTCAACCGAAGTTGTTAGGGCATATTTGAAGCAACTTATTATTTTCGGGTCTTGATAAACATCTTCGAGCTGAACGTTTTCGCCTGATAGTACTGCATTTATTTTTCGTAGAATTTCTAGACCTTTATTTTTATTGGAAAGCTCATTTAATTTTGTAGTAAGTGTTTCAGCTTTTGGCCCAGGAATAGAATTAATTTTTTCTTTGGTTTCGTCAATTATTGAAAAGCTTTCATGTAAAGTCATATTTTGAGTTTCCAGTTTTTTTATGACTATCACTAAAAATGCCAAATGTGTTGATATAAATGTTAAATCATTGACAACAGTACCATCTTCAATTATATTCAAAACTTTTCTAATACTTTGCGCATCATCCATTGCCAGTCTCTCGATAACTTTTTTATATTTGGTAAGATAATCTGCTTAATATAACGCAGCATTTACCCATGTTCCCCACCTTGTAAGAACTGGAACAGGTGGTAAAGGGATATCATTAATTTCTTCTTTAAAAATAGAGATTCGACTCGGCGCTTTTAAAAATATTTTCTTCCCATTATTAATTAAACTATTAACTTTTGGAAATAACTCCCTTACTTTTTCTGCAAGACGATTACAAGCATGAGCGGTACACGTTACATGGATCATATTGGTATAAAATATCTTTAAAGACTTCCCTGCTTTCACCATATATGACGCTGCGTCTGTTAATAAAAGTAATACACGTTGTTCCATTCCCACATCTGTCCATAATAACTTTAAGTAGTCATTGATAAATCGGGTAATCGTTTCATTGTTTGTTTTCTCCAATTGTTTAGATGCTAAAAGATATGATTTCCCAGAAAAGTTTTTATTCATAACTCCTACAAGTAAATTTGCAATGTATAAGCCCCGTGTATCAGTTGTCTCGGTTGTATCAGTTGTCTCGTCAACAACAATATAAATAAAGTTTTTCCCAATTTTTTCTTTAATTTCATTCATTGTTTTTTGATAGCATATATTTACATATGTCTTTCGCAATGTGCTTTCATCTGGTATAGGATGATCAATGTATTTATTCAAAAAATTACGAAACTGTTCGGTTTTTAACTTGTGTAAGGGTATGTCAGATGAGACCATAGCAAAACATAAATCTTCAAAAAAAATGTTATTAGTAGAACTTGATCTAGAATTAGTTGTAATTAATTGTTGTTTTGATAACTTATTTTTAAGTGCAGACACATGGGCAGCTAAAATAAAAAATATAGAAAATAAATAAACAAAATATATTTCTATTTGTATAAGTACTGACCTGTTTTTATGTGCTGATCTACCTGAGACATTCTCTCACAAACAATAGATTTTCCACAAGGATTGCAAAATACTATTTTTCCGTCAGTGAAAACTTCGGTGTCTTGGTTTGCTGAAGAAATCCATCCTCGAATTTTGTTGCAAATCGAACTACTTATTTTCGGCATGTTAACAATTTACGGACAACGACAAACGATGAAACTGAATTTACTGAGTCGGTGGTATGTCGATAGTTGACTGATACAGCAAGAGGTATTAAGATTATAGGTAGATACAAAAGTACATAGTAATCGATTATTTTCTAATCGTCGATGTAACAGAGTGGTATGTCGATAACGACAATAACCGACTGACAGAGCAAGAGCGATTAAGTTTACGTCGTGCCAATAAAATGTATTTTTAATTTTGCTACTTGACAAAATATTATTTTATATATTTTTTTAAATTTTTGCTTCAATATGCAATAAATATGCAATACATTTTGAATTTTGCCTAAATATGCAAAATTATGCAATAAAATTGAAATATGCAGAAATATGCAAAAAAAATTTCACCATTTGCTTCAAATTATGATGATTCGTAGAGAATACTGACAAAAATCCAAAAATATTAAAAGGAAACAAATATGCAATTGCATAGAAATCTGCGCTCTAGTTATAATAAATACACTAGTCATTATAGTTTAAGAATCCGCTCAGTATTAGACAATTTATTTAAAATGTCTTCTTTATTTAAGACATTAGACAAATCTCTTTCAATATATTCAATAGCTTTATCTCTTTCAATAGCTATATTATTGACAAATTCGAAAAACGATTTGGCAACATAGTTGACCTGATGTAAGTGTTAAGAAAACAAGATGTTGAACTTGTTGGAATGGAAAGTGCTAAATGTAGCATTTTATATAAATTTGGAAACACCGCTTTTTGAATTACACACTTTAGCCGCTTTAAATGCTCCTGATGATTCATTTCTCTGTTAGACTCCCATAACAATTTTTTGCCACCAACATCTCTGATCTTAAATCAGTTCATTAATATTTAATAAAGCATGAAAACAAAAGAAAACCAAATTGTGTAATTATAATTTTAACAAATGTATAACATGATTTAATAATTTATTTACCTTATAATGGTTTAAAAAAATGTCCCTTTGTTTATAGTCAAGATTAATGAAGTTATCAATTGATATGGCCTATTAAGACTTCTGGTGAAAAACTATGTTTCATGTTCACTACATTACTGTCAATCACAGGATTAAAAGCATGTTTTTTCCAATAAATGACATATGATTTTACACAGGATCATTACATAATCCGTTATCGCGAATCCGGCCGGCACGCAAGCGAGCTAGACGTTGTCGGAAATAGCATGTGGTCTAACGTAAATTACCTGCACACTGTATATTATATAGGGTGTCACTTTTATTAAAGTCCGTGCTGCTTTGAGTATGAGTGGCGCTAGCCGCGATGACGACGGAGGCGGCATGGTGATTGATACAGGCGAGGCTGGGCTGGAGGGCGATAGGTTGTGTACTGGCGGTGATACCACTCCAGTGATGAGTGCAAAACGGAATTGCGTTCCCTCCTCACCTCCTCTCCTTGCTGAGGGCGACGAGGGCCGGATCGAAGCAGGCCTGGCGTACATTAGATCCACCCTGAAATCAGCCATGACTGAAGCCAGGGCAGTAGGAGTTAGATCGGGATCCGACGGTCTCATCAAATCGCTTGAAAATATCTTTGACACCGTGTCGCAGATGTTGACGAGGAAGGGGAAGTTGAGAACACCACTTCACCCCGCATCAAAAAAGGCGAGGAGCCTAGTGGAGCTGGGCTCAGCAACCAGGGACATCGGTAGACCGGAGATGGTTGATGTCGGTACCGACACCATTCTGACTCCCTATTGGTGGGCGAGCGAACAGGAGTGCCGGGAGGAGGAGACGGCCGGAGGCCGTACACGTGAGGCAGGTGCGAGAGAGCCGCAAGCGTCGGCAGCGCAAATATGTCACAGGGCCGAATCCGCTAGGGAAACGGATCCTGGGATATAGCAGGTAGCTGTTCACGGGAGGAGGACCAGGAGACCTCCCGGCGGAGCAGTGGTTCGCCACCCGGATCCCCCGGTGACTAGGACGAATCAGAGGGCCAAGCCCCCTGCAGTATTAGTGAAGGTGGCTGCTGGCTCATCGTACGCAGACACCGTTCGTGCAGTGAGATAAAACAGCGACCTCAATCTGGCGGAAATGGGCGCGCAGGTGACCGGGTTGCGCAGTACTAGGGACGGGCATCTGTTGGTCGAGCTAGCCAAAGGAGTTGGATCGGTCGAAGCAGCCCAGAAGCTGTCTTCTGCCACTACAACCCAATGATGTGCCGGATATCATCCTGGGACCGGAACAGGAGCTCCTCCCAGATGCTGCATCCAGGAGGCGGGGTATTGAGGCGATGGCGGAGGGACTGAGGTTGGCGTTTGGCAGAATGGTGGAGGCGATTCTCGGGCGGAAGGAGGATGCAGAGCGGGTTAGGCAGGCGCGATTATTTTAATGGTGACTGAGTTTGTGGGCCGAAGGCCAAATACCTAGGGTGGTTAGAGGCCCCCACGTATGTACTTTATATTATAGTTGTATTTTGTAGTGACGGTGAATAAACGATACGGGCTCGGGTGGCAGTATTGTGCTAAACAGTTCCCACCCGTTCCTGTTTATAAAAAAAAAAAAAGGATCATTACATACAATAATATACGAGAAGTTGGTCAAAGATGTTAATATAAAAAATTAAACGATACCTATATCAAATATAAATTTAAAAATTAACTACTGTTGATAGGACTATAGTAATTATGACAGGAATGCTATAATCGAAGTTGAGGGGGGGCACAGGCCCCAAGCCCCCCTAGTTACGCCTATGAATTTTTACATTCATCGATGGGCCACATTCATCGCGAATCGAACCAGTTTGATTCACGATTTGACCTTACCTGCAATTTGGCGCCATGTTCCCACGAAGGAGAATCCAGTTGATTGCGCATCGCGCGGACTGTTTCCTTCCGAGCTCCTCAACCACTTACTGTGGTGGACTGGTCCATCTTTTTTACTGAGTCCTCCAGACAAGTGGCCAAAATTACTATTAACCGAACTTGAAGATTTCAATGGGCCCTCCTCTCAGGAAGCTCGGGTACCTACTGTGCTCACCGTCACTGTAGACATTCCGATAATCGATTTGTTAAATCGCATGTCATCGCTGCAGAAGATCCTTCGCGTAATCGCATACTGTTTTCGATTTTTCAAGCCCCGGTCTGACGCCCCAACTAGCTACATTATAAATGCGGCAGAGTTAACTCGTTCTCTCTCTGCCTTGGTCTACTTAGTCCAACGTCAAACATTTGCCGTCGAAATTGTAGCTCTGTCAAACGGTCTTCCCTGCTCAAAATCTCTCCGACGTTTAGACCTGTTTCTTGACCCAGTTGGTGTGTTCAGAGTGGGCTGTCGGCTTCGCAACGCCGATATTCCCATACGTGCACAAACATCCTGCTTTGTTGCCGTCCCGTCATCGTTTAACTGATCTAATAATTGATCACAATCATTGTGTATTAAGCCATCCAGGAGCCATGACCCTCCAATCACTTTTACAACGTGAGTTTTGGATACTGTCAGCGAGGCAGGCTATTATTTCCCGGCTGCGATTATGTATTCCATGTTTTCGCACCAGACCTCAAACGGTTCAACCAAAAATGGCCGTTCTTCCTAAATATAGAGTACAATAGATAAAACCATTTGCTATCTCAGGCGTTGATTATGCTGGCCCGATATCTGTAAAAGGATCACATGGTCGCCCATCATCCAGAAGCTCAGCCTACATTTGTTTATTCGTCTGTACCGTAACAAAGGCATTGTACATAGAGCTGAGTTCTGACCTGTCAACGAAAACTTTCCTCCTAGCATTCACTCGTTTTGCTGCACATCGTGGACCGATCAAAGAGATTCATAATGATTGTGGTACTAATTTCGTTGGTGCCGCGAATCTATTAAACCCGCTACAAAACTTCATCGCCTCAGAACACTATCAAACCGGTGTACGAAATCATTTGTCCAAGGACCAAATTACTTGGTTTTTCAATCCTCCGTCTTCTCCTCACTTTGGAGGACTTTGGGAGGCTGGAGTAAAGTCGACAAAGTCTTTAATTTTTCGATCCATTGGAACCCATCGACTCACAAGTGAAGAACTGATCACTTTGCTTACCAAAATTGAAGCCACTTTAAATTCACGGCCTTTGTGTGCCCTTAGCAATGATCCGAAAGACCTAGAAGCTTTGACGTCCAGTCATTTTTTAACGCTGGAACCATCGACATCTCTTCCGGACCCTTGTTTGGAAAACGTAAAACTATCAAAAATGCAGCGTTGGCGCTTAGTGACTGATCTCCACCGGTACTTCTGGACCAGATGGAAAAATGAATATTTATCTACTCTCCAGCTGCGAACAAAATGGTCTGATGATGGAAAGCAGTTGAATGTAGGAGACCTCGTCCTAATAAAGGAACCAACGCCTCCTCTGTATTGGAGATATGGACGTATCACTGACCTCCATCCTGGCACAGACGGTGTGTCACGCGTTGCTACTGTCCACACTTCATCTGGAGTTCTAACTCGGCCAGCTGTAAAGTTGTGTCCGGTGCCTTCTTGTTGAAGTTCCTTCAAAGTGGGCGGTGATGTTGGCGCTGAAAATTATCAAATATGATAATATGCTAATTTGCTCGATGGCGACATCGTCCCTCCTCCTCCTACCGTGATTTATTGTAATTGTTATTTACCATATATTTTTTGTTTTGTCTATGTGTGATAATTATTGGAAGGTCGATTATCAATGTTTTTGTTTTGATTTTCGTGATATCTTATTATTGCGGCCAACGCCCTTTTGTTACACACACACTCATAAATTGTATCGCTCGTACATAAACACTTAAATTTATTGTTGTTCGTTCATGTCTATACTCTTGTCGTTCGTAAATTATTATTTATTGTTAATTCTGTTTCTTTTTCATTGGACCACCACAATCATATCAGTTCTCAGGCATTCCCCGAGTGGTCCTTCGGGAATGTGTTACGTCAGGTGTCTTGGCGTACACACTTACAAATATTGATAATCCATTTGATTTATTTAGTTTGCAGAGGGAATGTATAGATTCATAACCGTTAATCATAAAATTAATATCTTCATTCAGCCAAGTGTCACTCAACACAATAACATCAAAACTATGATTAATAGAATTTAACAATAGTAACAGTTCATCAATATTAGCTTTCAGACTTCTAATATTCATACTAAAAATGGAAAGACTATTTACATAGAAATACTTATTTTCTAAACTATCAATATTTACGGTTTGAACGTTATTTATATCTTTTAATTCATGTAATAGGTTATTTAAATTGTTAATCATTATGAAATAAATTTACATTAAGAAATAAAGTTACATTTAAAATAATTACAATCACATCCATAACTAACTTATTTTCTTATCAGTATCTAAATCCATTAATTAATGAGAAGTAGTAATTTTAACTCCAACTTGACCATCATTTTTTCTCATATAAACACCACTCGAATTTGCCCAAGTATATTTGAAACATTATTGAGTTCGAACCAGCTTAGCCAACCAGCGAAGTTTCTTATTGCTATAGGAAAGTTGATAATTTATAAAGACTCTTTGGATAGTGAATTTAGTTGATAAGTCACAAGCAAGTAACGGTTTTTTATCAATTTTTGAACGTTTTTTCATCCTATTAATAATTTCATATTTTTTATTTTTATTTGCAAAACATATCACTACATTGCTACCCGATTTTTTTGTGGTTTTAGTGCGATAGGAACTTACAACTTCATTTGATTCAACTTTTATGGTTAAAACTTTGGAAATACTATTAACAATTTCAATTGAAGATTCGTTTTCAGTTTTCGGAATGCCAGTAATTTCAATGTTGTTAGCTAAATTTTGTTGTTTTAGAGTGTTCGCATTCCTAATGAGTGATAATATTTCGCGTTCCAATATTGCACACTTTTCTTCAAGTTCGATATTTTTTTTTTCATGGGTTTTTAATTTAGACAAGATAGTCTCAAATTTCACATTAAATTCATCAACCTTAGAAGATATAAATGAAATTGATTTTTCGATTGAGTCAATTTTGTTAATTGAATAAGACAAAGTATCCAATTTGAAGGAAATGTTATTTAAATTTATTTTAAGTTAATAAAGTCAAAGAAATAAATATTAAAACTGATGAAGATATTCGAATACCTACTTACACAACTCCTTATAAACCACGTAATCCAGAATTACTAAGACTAATGGAAGATATGAATACACCTAAACATTCTCCAATAAAAGTAACACCACAGTCTCCTTTATCTAAAGATGTAATAAAATTAGGTGAAAATGCACAGAAATATTTACCTACTTTAGAATAAACTAATAGTTTTGGAATATATCATAATGATGATACTGAACAACGTATGATCGGAAAATGTCCAATAATTTTTGATTTAGATGATATAATTATAAATGAAAAAAAGCATACCATGACCCCAGGTATGTGGAGATTATTAACTCATAAAGAAGTTACAAAACCAGGCTTTTACACAACAGAAGATTTTGAAAATTATGAAAAAATATTAATTGAAACAGATTCAATATAACAAGATAATGATAGTACCAAAACTATACCTAGACCTAAATCAAGTACATCTGCTAAATATAATGAGATGATTAAACCAATTTGGCAAAAGATTAAACCATCAACACCGACATCACCAAAACATAAAAGTAGAGATAATAAACCACAAATAGGAAAAAATATAAAAAATTTTAGAGGTTGTTTTATGAAAGATAAGCTACCCGCAGTGCCTTGGAAAAATGAATGGGGAATATTAAATTTAAATAATTCTAGTCAACCTGGTTCACATTGGGTTGCATGGTTAAAAAATGATAATAAAAAAGTATATTTTGACTCTTATGGGTTTTCTCCTCCAATTAAAGAAATTGTAAATTATTTAGGAAAAGATGATTTATATTACATCACTGATCAACTACAAACTTATACTGATCCACCTATATGTGGTCATTTATGTTTAGATTTTATTAAGAATTTTGATTTAAGAAACTAAGAATACTTTATTAAATTTTTTTTCCTATTAATGGAAAATATATTTGCTAATTATGACTATGCTATTATCCTCGAACAGGATAAAGTATTTTACCCTATATCAAGTCTTAATGCTCCTAACAAAATTACTGCTTTTAACATAAATGAAGAAAATAGTTTCTTAAATGTTAAAAAAGCAAAGTTTCAAATTTCTGGCCAAGTTTTACAAACTGATGGTACTAGTTATAATAAAGTATCAAATGTAATATTAGTTGATAATTTTCCTGGATTTTTGTTTGAGTCGATTTGTGTTAAAAAACATGGTAAAGAATTAGATAGAATTGATAATAGTTTATGATAGTTTAATTAAAGGTACAATTAGTTATTATGCAGACCTTAGTGGGCCAACAATAAATAGTGGGTTTCAGTCAAAATGTAGTGGTGGTGGTTATTTTAGTGCTGTTGGTAAATTATCTAATTTGTGTTTAGGATTTTTTAAAGATATAGAATACCCAGTATATAAAGGTGGTTTTGAAATAAGTTTTTTAAGACGTTCTGACGATGATGCTTTATTTAGAGATAAGGATGATAAAGGGGTATTAGCTGGAGTTGGAAAAGTTGTTATTGAAGAATTACTTATTAGAATACCAATTGTGACTTATGATGATGCGAGTAAATAAAAAGTGATAAATGAATTAACTTTATTGTCCAAGAGAAATGAATATCTATTTAGATTCAAATCATGGCAATGTATTGAAAGTAATATTACTAGTAAAACACTAAACAAAGATATAACAAATATGTATAGAAATGTCCATAATCCTTTATTTGCTATCGTAGCTTTTCAGACAGATAGATTAAATAATCAATTGAGAGACCCAATAGAGTTTAGTAATTGTAATTTGAAAAATATTTGGTTGGATATTGATGGTATAAGGTATCCAGAAGAATTATTAAACTTAGATTTTAAAAAAGGTTATTTTAATATTGCTTATGATATGTTAATGAGTTATAAGAATGTTTATAATAGAGTACATAGAGATTTATCTTTAATGTATATAACTCCAGAGGAATTTAAAAATACCAGACCAAATAAAATATGGACTATTGCAAAAATTGTAAATCTCAAACCAGAAGTATAGGTATTCCTGAATTTATTAAAAAAAAAATAATAAATATAGGAGGTTATCAGTATGTAAAATATGTAATACAAATAAGAATAATATATCAAAACCACCAGAACTTATAGAAGCTTATGAATTATTTAAACCGGCTAGAAAACATTTTGAAACAAGACATTTTATACAAAGAGGTATAAATGATACTTGGCAAGCTGATTTATACTGGTTTTATAGACCGAAATCTAAAGATAGTGATCCCAATTATAATTTAAGAAATAAACATAATGAAATTAAAGTTAATGA